ATAGAGACACACGATGTGCAATAGTCACATCACAGAAAATGGGCTATCTATCCCCTCAAACATTTGTTCTTTGTGTTACAAACAGCCTATTTATATTCTTTTAGTTGTTTTTATTTTTGAGATGGAGTTTCAGTCTGTAGCCCAGGCTGGAGTACAGTGGCAAGATCTTGGCTCACTGCAACCTCTACCTCCTGGGTTCAAGTGAATCTCCTGCCTCAGCCTCCCCAGTAGCTGGGACTACAGGTGCCTGCCACCCGGAGAATTTTTATAATTTTTGTAGAGATGGGGTTTCACCATGTTGGTGTGACCCATGAGGTGGGTCTTAAACATCCATCTTAGCCTTGCAAAGTGCTGGGATTACAGGGGTGAGCCACCACATCTGGCCATCTTTTGGTTATTTTTACATGTACAGTTAAATAATTATTGACTATAGTCACCCTGTTGTAGTATCAAATACTAGGTCTTACTTTTCTTTTGTACCCATTAACCGTCCCCACCATCCCCTCCCTTCCCTTCTTCCCAGCCTCTGGTAGCCATCCTCCTATTCTCTATTTCCAAGAGTTCAACTGTTTTGATGTTTAGATCCCACAAATAAGTGAGAACATGTGCTGTCTTTCTGTACCTGGCTTATTTCACTTAACTCCTGCCTCACCTTGTCTTGGCCAGCATGGTCTGCGCAGGAGTGAGCTGGAGCCGCCATGCATGCTGGGCTCCCACAAGATCACCCTCAACATTGTCCTTGGGCTGGGCGTGGTGGCTCATGCCTATAATCCCAGCACTTTGGGAGGCTGAGGCGGGTGGATCACAAGGTCAGGAGATCGAGACCAGCCTGGCCAACATGACGAAACCCCGTCTCTACTAAAACTACAAAAATTAGCCAGACGTGGTGACACACCTGTAATCCCAGCTACTTGGGAGGCTGAGGCAGGATAATCACTTGAACCCAGGAGGTGGAGGCTGTAGTGAGCTGAGATTATGCCATTGCACTCCAGCCTGGGTGACAAGAGTCAAACTTCATCTCAAAATAAATAAATAAAACAAACACTCTCCTTGATGGTCTACCCAACCGCAAGTCTGAGACAGTTCAAGCCCCTCCAGCGCTCCCCCGTCCCACCGCACCTTCCCGTCCCAACCCTCGCCTTCCACAAGGGCTACCTGGTTTATGATGGATATTGCCTAATGAGCCACACTTGGAGGTCACCTTGCTCAGGTCAACTGGTTTGTAGACTATTTGCACCTGGAGATGAGAAAGGAGGAGCGAGAAGAGACAGACAGGAAGACAGAGAGACAAAGAGGAGAAAATGGGATTATTTTATTAAGGGTGTAAGACAATGAGAAACAGCTGTGGAAGCCCAGGCCCTGCTCGCACAGTGGTTCCCAGCTGCCATGAGGAGCATGCCCTAGTCAGGGTAGAAAAATGTGTTGTCGAAATTCTGCCAACCCTGCCCCAGGGGAGCTGGGTCTTCACAAAGGACTGTGGGATTGGAGCGTCTTCAATCCCTGCAGAACAAAAGAGTCTCTGCGAAAAACAGGGACCCGTCATCATTGTGCAAGGCCCAGACATTTGTTTAGCAAACTTTTAAGTGTAAAAAAGTCACTCCCTTGCCTGACATGAAATTGACAGATCACAATCAGACATGAAGAAAAAAGTGATCGCTATGATGAGTATGCACAGCATCTGAAAAATCCTGCTGGAAAGGCAGGAGTGCAGTATCTGCTGGGCCTCGAAGAGGGGAGGCACAGCTAGGGTCAATGGGTGGGCTTTATTCCAGGAAAAGCTTCCACGGACCCTGGAAAGCACTAGAGCAAAAACAAGCACTAGAGCAAGCAGGACCTAGCAGAATTCAGCAGCTCAGGTGTGAGAGCCAGTGGGCGCCAGTGCCCTGGTCTGTTCCATCTTTACCAACAGGAGCAAAGTGACACCAACAGGGTAGACAGGCACAGTGGAAATCAACAGATGTAGCGTCTCAGCAAGCTTGAGTGGACGCAGACACACAGGGGGAGGCCTGTGAGCTTCAGGGCACCACTCCCTTGGGGATCACCGCCCTGAACTGCTGGCTGATCTCAGCCCAAGAACCAGCTGGGGGGGGGCGCGCACCTCGTGGGGACTCTGCAGTGGCAGACAGGTCCCCAGGAGGCAGGCCTCTATGAAGCCATGGCTGTTCGGGGGGCCTAGGGAGCGGGTCACTGACTGACATTCCTGAAGTCCCCAGGGCCTCCAGCATTGGCCTTTCGTGGGATCACCTGAAGGGGCAAGGCGGCAGCCACCTCCTACCTAACCAGTTGACTCCCGAGGAACCCTGCCCTGGAGCTTCCCTGGGAGACAGCTGGCTTTGTGGCTGGAGATGGGTTTATCAAGGCCACCAAAAATCAAGGTGGGGGGTGGTTTCTACTTCTACTTGGGTCTAAACTGGAACCATCCCAAATTATTTTAGCTAATGTCAGCTGGAATCTGCTCTTTATGGATGGGGAGTTAACTAGGGCAGAAATGGCTGCAGCTGGTGTGTCTGAGGCAAGGACATGGGAGGGTGGGGAGGATGGATGGCAGGCGCCTGGGGTGGAGAGAGCTGGTCGCTGAGGCTGGTGCCAACAGGGTGGACCAGGGCCGAGGGCATGGGAGGATATGCTGGTATGACCAAGGCCTCTTTCCCTCTTCCCTCTGGCCTCGGGGAGGAAACTTGTGAGAGAGGGGGAGGGGAGCTGGGACAAGGACCAGGGAATGGCCAGAAAAGAGAGGAGTGGATGGCAGTGGGAACCAGGACAGTGGTCAGGATGCCCAGGGAGGGAGGACAGCAGGCCCTGCAGCGTTTCCAGGGCCCAGCCAGGGGGGCAGAAGGGCCCCAGATGGAGAACAAGCAGGGCTGGCCGGCTGGAAAGTGGCCCCCGGGCTGAAGAGAGGATAGGGCCCAGGCAGGGGATCCAGTGCCCTCCCAGACGTCGGGGGCTGGCATCTCTTCTCATTAGAAGGGCTTCCTGTGAAGGTGCTCAGAGGGCGGTGCTCAACCTGGGACATCTATTGGCTCTCTGCCAGGTCACAGGCTAGCCTGCAGACAAGCATAGCACAGGACACACGAGAGGGCCCCCAAGGAGGTCCCAGATGTCCTGGGCACTGCAGCGTCTTTGGGCATCGGCTAGCAGAGGGGTTGGCCACACAGCCCGTGTGCTCTCTCCCCCAGCTCTGCCTCAGCAGCACAACCTCCACCAGTCCATCGGACTCAACCTCAACCAGAAATCGCGTGGCCTCCTTCCTCAGGCTGAGCCCACTTCAAAGAAGCCAGAGAACCAGGATCAAAACTCAAACAGCCAAAACGGCAACCCCAAGAACAAGGGCCGGGGCAGGGGTGGGGGCGGCACACACCTCTTCGGTCCCCTCACACCAGACAAACTGGGGGGACAGGAGAGCAGGCGCGGAGACAGAAGAGACACTTAGCAGACACCGGTGAAGAAGCGTTAGTCAAGCCCATGCAGCAGCCGCAGGGCAAGCGCTTGCTACTGTGGGACTCAAGGGGCCTGAGGGGCAGAAGCCGGGATCCAAGTGCTCGGGGCAGGAGGCAGCAGCTCACTGCAAGAATAAACCCTCCGGGCTAAATACAGGAGCTGGCCCAGGCCAGGCGTTTTCTGGCGAGAGCCTGCCCCAGGGCCACAGCAGTCTCCTGGTACTCCTGGCAGGACCAGGTGGTTGCTCTCAAAAAATGCCTTCCTTGGGGTGGACCCTGCGGGTCTCATACCTCCAGCTCCCCAGGGCATTAAAAGTTTGCTTATAGCTGACCAAGAGAGCTGGTGGGAGAGGACCCTCAGGGGCCCAGTGGACATGGACCAGCCAGAGGACAGTCAGTGGACCTTGAGGATCTGAGTCCCGATTTCCAGGAGACACTCCACAGAGGACATGGAGTCCCCGGGGACGTGTAGAAGAGGCTAAATCTAGTTATTTTAAAATTATTATTTTTTGAGACAGAGTCTTACTCTGTTCCCAGGCTGAAGTGCAGTGGCGTGATCATGGCTCATTGCAAACTCCACCTCCTGGACTCAGGTGATCCTCCCACCTCAGCCTCCCAAGTAGCTGGGACTATAGGTGTGTGCCACCACACCTGGCTAATTTTTAATTTTTTGTAGAGACGGGGCCTCACTATGTTTCCCAGGCTGATCTTGAACTCCTGGGCTCAAGAGAACCTCCCGCCTTGGTCTCCCAAAGTGCGGGGATTACAGGCGTGAGCCACTGCTCCTGGTCAGAGGCTGCCAAATTTAAAAGGGCCAAAACCAGCATTTGTCTGCCAAACCTCAATGCAGGGCAGAGGGACATGTCACACTTTGGTCTGGCTCTCTGCATCTGGAATCTCTACCTGAGGATGGTGCAGGCTGAACACATGGCTCCTCCCTTGACATGCAGGAGGCACAGCTGAGTAGGACATAAGCCTTTAGTGTCCCCTCATCAGAACAAACAGGCCACCTGTCCACAGTGGAGCCACTCAATGTGAAACTGTCCAGGAATTGGGGAGGCGGCGGCAGCCCAGGCTCAGGTGCCACCACCTTCAGCCCAACTTCCAATTGGGGTTCTTGGGAATAGGGTGGGCGGGAGTGGAGAGACACCTTGATGGTTCTCAGCTTCCCAGGCAGGGGCTGGAGAGAGGGTCGGTCATCTGTCCTATTCTGCCCATGCAGCCTGGGGCACCCAGAAATGCTGGGATACACCCCCTCCCAGAACATGAGGAAGGGGCTTCTGGGAACAGTGGACGTGTGGGGGAATGTGGGGAGCTGGGCCACATTCACCTGGGAGGCGCAGCCAGATCCTGAGAGCCCAAGATAGATTTATTCTGTGCAGTGTCTCGCAGGTCTATGCACTCATGCCACTTCCTAAAACACCAAGCCATAGTGCGGGGCACGGGACGTGTGAAGGTACTCACACTGCCGCCTCCCGGGACGTGTTTGATATTATCCTTTGAGCCACACTTGGACTGGACGTTGCTAAGATCCAGCTTCTTATTAATTATCTGCACCTTTGATAGCCAGAAAAAAGGATGAGTGAACGCCACCCAGGACCCACCTGCTTGTTCCCAAGGACATGTCCACTTTTGGACTTGGCAGGGGCAGCCTGGGGAGTGGTGGGAGGTTGAGGCACACCTGGGGGGAGTTGAAGGGACAGAAGAGAGGGCTGCCCCGAAGGTATTCCAGAACCGTCAGTGATTCCAAGCGGGCTTTAGGAAGCTGGGATTTTAGGATCTCAGGGGCAGTGACTCACTTCTCCGAAAGATGGCATCGTGAGGCCTGAACCCCAGAGGGGCACATGCACCAGCCTGGGTCGAGTGAAAACGGTGTTTGGCCACACCGCCGAGTAATAAGAAGCTCCCTGGCATCTCCACTCACACCCAGCTAGACCCACCGGAACATTCCCAGAAACTTCCTGCAGCTGTTCTCATGCTGTCAGGCATTGGAATCACCTGTGGATTTTCAAAATCTCGGGCCCCTGCCTGGACCTACAATTAGAATCTGGAGGCATCTGGCTTCAGTCTCTCTAGGTTTGAAAAGTTTCCCTGGTGATTCTGACGCACAGCCAGGTTTGAGAGGCCCTGACCCTGTGGGCAGGACCCAGGCCACTTTGTAGGGAAGACAAATGCAGAGTGTCCTGTCTGTCTGAGGGCTCTGTCCCTGCAGAGTCAATGCCTCCTCCTCCTCCCTTCCACCCTCCAGCCCTCTCCACCTACAGTCCCACCAGGCGCTTAAGGGAAACTGAGCAAATGCTCCCGTGGGGCTTTTTCTCAGCTCTTCCATAAGCGGTGGTGGCCTGGATGGGTCCCCCATGACTGCATTTCTGGAAGGTTCTTTCTGCAGACACCAGGGGAGTGTGAAAATATCACTGTTTTGATGAGAAATGATTTTTACCAGTTTGCTGAAAAACTACGAAATAGGCAACCGCGGCTTAGGGAGTTGAAAAACGACATTTTGTCCTTCAGATCAGTGGGAATATTCCTCACCTGGTGCCCTTCCCCTCAGAAACTCTGGAAATAGCGTGCTTTGGGTTTTTTTCCTTTTTGAGACCAGGCTGCAGTGGAGTGATGCCATCATGGTTCACTGCAGCCTCGACCTCCCCAGGCTCCGGTGATTCTCCCACTTCAGCCTGGCAAATTTATGTATTTTTTGTAGAGATAAGGTCTATTTGTCTATGATGGTCTAAAACTCCTGGGCTCAAGCAATCAGCCCACCTTGGCTTCCCGAAGTACTGGGATTCTAAGTGTGAGCTGCTGTACCTGTAATCTCAGCACTTCGGTTTTTATTCATCTCAGATGTAAATAATTGCCGATAATTCCCAGTGAAGGACCAGCTGTGCCAAGGCCGTTTCTGAAGTCTTGAAAACGGCACCAAGACCTCAGTGGCTCTTTTGAGGATGCTGGGTGGAGGCCAGGGCTCTGGAGGTCCCATCAGCCAGGACTGAGGCTGTGTCTGGGGTCAGGGCTCCAGCCTGGCTTCTGGTTCATCTCATTTTTTCCCTTAATTTTACTGGTCTGAATCTTAAATATGAAACAATAGCTAACTCATCTCTCTTCATAATCTTTTATATTGCTTCAAAAAGATTATTTTCTTAGAAAATATAATGATGATTTTGAAAAACAGAGCTCATCAAAGCAAAGATGAAACCGTTTTCTTCCCAGCCCAGCACAATCACAACTGCATTTTGTTGCCTTTCCTTGAAGTCTCATTTACATGTAACTACCCCTGTAGACCTAGACATGGCAGAATTAGTGTGCACACGCAATTCTGTATCCTGCTCTATGAAGTGATATCATATTCTAGGCCAGGCACAGTGGCTCATGCTTGTAATCCCAGCACTTTGGGAGGCTGAGGCAGGTGGATCACCTGAAACCCGGAGTTTGAGACGAGGCTGACCAACATGGTGAAAACCCGTCTCTACTAAAAATACAAAAGTTAGCCAGGCATGGTGGTGTGCAACTGTAGTCCCAACTCCTCGGGTGGAGACTGCTGTGAGCCGAGGTCGCGCCATGGCTACAGAGCAAGACTCCATCACAAAAAAAACAACAACAACAAAACCCAAGAGAAGTGCCATCATGTCCTGAGCATTCCCTGCGGTCTACAGTCATGAGAAACACTATGTTTAATAACACGTCCTATTCCACGTTGTGAATATTGTTCCCCTCTGTCCAGCACTTGTATTGATTCCACTTTGTACTCAGTCATACAAACAGTCCTGCCGGAGCTGGATTTGATGCAAAAAAAAAAAAAAAAAAAGCAAAAAAAGCCTCCCATGAAGCTCTTTCTGAAAGGAGCTTTTTCCATACGATGGGTTATTTTCATAACACAGAGTCCTAGAATAGAATTTCTGGGTCAAAGTTATAGATATTCTGAAACCTCTCGGTGCAACTTTCCACACGGCTTTCCAAAAGGGTTGCAGGCGCCTTCCCTGTGTACCGGTGAGAGAGCCAGCTTCGCCACATTGCTGCCAGCACTGGCTGTTCACAACATTGTTTTGCTTATTTCTTTGACCAAAATAAAAGGAACTTCATTGTTGGCTTATTCTGCATCTCTTTGATTATGACTAAAATTGCTCCTTTACCCGCTTTTTGCTGACAGGTGTATTTTTTCTAACATACACATATTTACATTTATTATTATTTTTGGAGATGGAGTCCTGCTCTTGATGCTCAGGCTGGAGTGCAGTGGCGCAATCTCAGCTCACTGCAACCTCCACCTCCCAGGTTCAAGTGATTCTCCTGCCTCGGCCTCCCGAGTAGCTGGGATTACAGGCGCCCGCCACCATGTGTGGCTAATTTTTTGTAATTTTAGTAGAGACAGGGTTTCACTATGTTGGTCAGGCTAGTCTCGAACTCCTGACCTCAGGTGATCCACCAGTCTCAGCCTCCCAAAGTGCTGGGATTACAGGCGTGAGCCACGGCACCCCGCCTTACTTTTTATTATTTTTAAAAATAGAGACAGGGTCTCACTCTGTCACCCAGGCTGGAATGCAGTGGTGCCATTGTAGCTCATTGCAGCCTTAAACTCCTGGGCTCAAGCAATCTTCCTGCCTCGGTCTTCCAAGTAGCTGGGACTACTGGTATGTGCCACCATGCCCAGCTAATGTTTAAAAATTACTTGTGGCGATAGGGTCTCGCTATGTCACCCAGGCCGGTCTCAAACTCCTGGGCTCAAGTGCTTCTCCCACCTCAGCCTCAGCACTGGGATTACAGGCATGAACCACAGTGCTCAGCCTACATTTTAATTTACTTATTTTTTTATAAGTACATTTTAATTTACTTATTTTTAATAATTACTTTTTGAGACAGAGTTTCAGTCTTATTGCCCAGGCTGGAGTGCAAGGGCATAATCTCAGTTCACTGCAACCTCTGCCTCCTGGATTCAAGCGATTCTCTTGCCTCAGCCTCCTGAATAGCTAGGACTACAAGTGTATGCCACCACGCCCAGCTAATTTTTTTTTTTTTTGTATTTTTAGCAGCAACGGAGTTTCATCATGTTAGCCAGGATAGTCTTGATACCTTGACCTCATGATCCACCCACCGCAGCCTCCCAAAGTGTTGGGATTACAGGCGTGAGCCACTGCGCCCAGCCTGTTTTATACATTTTTCATTTTAAATTTATATGGGTACCTAGTGGGTATACTTGTGGGGTACATGAGATATTTAGATACAGACATACAATGTGTAATAATCACATCAGGGTGAGTGGGGCCTCCATCACCTCAAGCATTTCTCATTTCTTGTGTTATGAACGTTCCAATTATACTCTTTCCGTTGTTTTCAGATGTAATAAATATAAACGTACTATAAAACTGCTGCTGACGGCAGTCGCCCTGTTGTGCTATCCAATATGAGATCTAGTCATGGAACTATGTTCTGGCACCCATTAGCCATCCTCACTTCCTCCTCACTCCCCTCTCCCCTTCCCAGCCTCTGCTAACCATCCTTCTATTCTCTTTTTTTTAATTAAAAAAAGAATTTTTTTTTATAGACGGGGTTTCCCCATGTTGGTCAGGCTGGTCTTGAACTCACGACCTCAGGTGATCTGCCCACGTTGGCCTCCTAAGTGCTTGGATTACAGGCGTGAGCCACCATGCCTGGCCCATCCTTCTATTCTCTATCTCTGTGAATTTTTAAAGTTTTAGCTCCCATAAATGAGTGAGAACATGTGAAGTCTGTCCTTCTGTGCCTGGCTTAGTTCACTTGACATAATGTCCTCCATTTCCATCCATGTGGTTTCAAATGTCAGGATCTCATTCTTTTTCATGGTGGAATAGTACTCCATTGTATATATGTGCCACATTTTCTTTCTCTATTTGACTGCTGATGGACACTTGGGTTGCTTCCAAATCTTGCCTGTTGCGAATAGTGCAGCAAAGAACACGGGACTGCCTGTGTCCCATTTTTAGATACTCACATTCTTCCTTTGTAAGTCCTCCTCTGGTGTTTAAATGTACAAACCACTCCTCCTTTAGAGGGGGATAAACCTCTGATGCCACATCAACTTTCTTGCCTACCATCCCCTCATTAAGGACAAGGAGGCCATTTGAAATCCATGGAGGTTCAGCAACTTTTTCAGGTCAGAAGCAGCCATGGAAGAATTTAGATCTGGGTGTTTCTGTACCTGCAGGTTATGTATGTGAGAACAAAGTTGTCCTGGCTGTCCTCAAGGCAACATCCTCATAAACCTATAAAAACAAGACTTCTTTTGCTGAACACTGAAATTCTCTCCTGCCAGAAAGGAGACACGGTGAAAGTGCCTCAGCCCAGGCTGGAGCTGGGGGAGGAGGTGGGACAGGCTTTCCAATACTGCTTCTCAAGGCGTCCCTATGACCCTTTGCACAAGTCTTTGAATCAATTCACGCCACCCTCCAATTTTAAGGAATCCCACATAAGCTCCTTCTTTGCAGATTATTTTTTTTAATTAAAAAAAAAAAAAAGTTTTAATGGAGATGGGGTCTTGCTATGTTGCCCAGCCCAGGTCTCAGATTCCTTGGTTCAAGTGGTCCTCTGGCCTCAGCCTCTGGAGCAGCCTGTGCACCTGTAGGCTTGATGATCATTTTTATTCATAGCTTTTCACTGGATAAGTCTTAGAAGAAGATTTGCCTCCTTTCAAAAAGGAGTGGGAACAGCTTAGAATTAGAAAACACACACTCACAATAATAAAATAAGAAAATGTAAAGAATAACATTAGAAGAAGGGGAGGGCGTTGACACTGACAATTACAAGAGTGATCATTACATTTAGCTTGGAGTTTCCTGGAGGCCGAGGCAAAAAGGGAAACTTGATGGGTTACGTAACTCTCCTTAACTGACAAAGAAAACAGGCCGGGCACAGTGGCTCAAGCCTGTAATCCCAGCACTTTGGGAGGCCGAGGCAGGCGGATCACGAGGTCAAGAGATCGAGACCATCCTGGTCAACATGGTGAAACCCCGTCTCTACTAAAAATACAAAAAATCAGCTGGGCATGGTGGCACGTGCCTGTAATCCCAGCTACTCGGGAGGCTGAAGCAGGAGAATTGCCTGAACCCAGGAGGTAGAGGCTGCGGTGAGCTGAGATTGCGCCATTGCACTCCAGCCTGGGTAATGAGCGAAACTCCGTCTCAAAAAAAAAAAAAGAAAAAAAAAGAAAAAAGAAAACATACCAGTTTTTCAAGGAAGAGAACTTTGTTTTCTGTACTAATCCATAAAACAAACCAAGCAAATCAAAGGACATTAAACAATAACGCAGTATCTGCAACATACATAGAAATACTTTTTTCCATGTGGCTTTTTCCTGTTCTAACCCCACAAAAAAGGCAACAAGCCTTTGTGAGATTTTGCAATAGACACGAGGGTATCTACAAAGGGTATTTAACAAAGCGAACTGGAACTACTGTCAATTATCACATTAAGTCAACACCCTTTACAGAATCTTAGATTTACAGAAGGGAGAGAAAAGGGGACTGGTGGTCATTATGAAATTAGAATCCTGAAATTTAATTTCTCAGAGTAACATACATATTACACTTCAGCTCTGGATAGACACTGAAAAATTCCATCAAGGGAGAGAACAATGTGTTGCAAGCTCCCAGTTTGGATCCAGGGGCCTCCTAGTCAGGGGAGAAATGTCTGTGGTCAGCGTTTGACCCTGAAGGAGAGGCTGTGGTGAGGTGGGGCTGGGTGTGTGTGTGTCCACTTGGTTTAATCAATTTCCTGGAGCACCCAAAGCAGCCCCAAACTCTCATTAGACCTCGATCTGGTTTTGTTTGGTTTCAGGTCTCTCAAGGCTGCTCCAAAGAGCCCAGCCCTCCTTCCCTGGCCCCAAGCCTGCAGCCACCCAACCCCGTGCCTCACAGTTGGCTCCCAGGCTGGCCCAGGCTTGGCCTGCCTCCAGCACTGCCTAGTGCTTGCTGGGCTGGGCTTTGCCTCACCAGGCTCTGCAGGCCTAGTGCAGTACTCTGCTGGGAATTTAACCCGGGGTGGGCACTGGATGCCCAACACAAGCCTTCTCAAGTCAAGGTGATCAGCTTGGGAACCCAGAAAAACCTTTCTATGTCCTGTCAAGTCAATCAGCCAAGGAAGAGATCAAATCACAGGGTGGAGTCACCTTCAGAATTATTTACACTGTCCTTTAAACAGTGATGAACCCAAGCTCCTTTAAAATGATTTGATTTATGGGCTGGGCGCGGTGGCTCACGCCTATAATCCCAGCATTTTGGGAGGCTGAGGCGGGGGGATCACGAGGTCAAGAGATGGAGACCTTCTTGATCAACATAGTGAAACCTTGTCTTTACTAAAAATGCAAAAATTAGCTGGGCATGGTGGCGCGTGCCTGTAATCCCAGCTACTCAGGAGGCTGAGGCAGGAGAATTGCTTGAACCCGGGAGGCGGAGGTCGCAGTGAGCCAAGATTGCGCCATTGCACTCCAGCCTGGGTAACAAGAGCGAAACTCTGTCTCAAAGAAAAAAAAAAAAAGATTTGATTTTCAGAAGTGCAGATGTACAGGGAGAGGTGCCTGGAGGGTCTCAGAGTTACAGAGCTGTCCTAGAGGACGGTCCCAGCCTGGCTTTGCCCCCAACTCACTGTGGGGCCTGACATCTCAGCCCAAGCTCACCTGAGTCCCTGGCCCTGATCGAGAAGGAGAGGCAAACTATCCCTCGTACAAACTCACTGTATCATTCCACATAAATGTTCTACATAGATGCTTTTTAAAGTGACGACTGGGGCTTTATTATTAAATATAATGTATTTTTAAGGACAGGTGTGGTGGCTCACACCTGTAATCCCAGCACTTTGAGAGACCAAGGCAGGAGGATCAGGAATTCAAGACAAACCTGGCCAACATGATGAAACTCCGTCTCTAATACATATACAAAAATTGGCCGGGCATGGTGGCACATGCCTGTACTCCCAGATATTGGGAGGCTGAGGAATTTAACTTGAGAATTGCTTGAACTTGGGAGGTAAATGTTGTAGTGAGCTGAGATCACACCACTGCACTCCAGCCTGGATGACAGAGCCAGACTCTGTCTCAAAATAAATAAATAAATAAAATGTATTTTTAGACTACTCAGTTCTCTATAGTGGTCAGTGGAGTATGAGGAGGGAAGAAAGAGGGGTGAAAGGAGAGAGAAATATATCAGAGATGGGCAGAGGTGACTGGGTAGAAACAGAGCAAGGCTAGGGTAAGGGAGGAAGTTGAAGATGAGAGCAGACACTCACATACACCCTTAAAAAGAGAAGGCCCAGGCCAGTGTGGTGGCTCACGCCTGTAATCCCGGAACTTTGGAAGGTCGAGGCAGGCAGATCATGAGGTCAGGAGATTGAGACCATCCTGGCTAACACAGTGAAACCCCGTCTCTACTAAAAATACAAAAATTAGCCAGGTGTGGTGGCATGCTCCTGTAGGACCAGCTACTCGGGAGACTGAGGCAGGAAAATCACTTCAACCTGGGAGGTGGGGGTTGCAGTGAGCCAAGATCTTGCCACTGTACTCCAGCCTTGGTGACTCTGTCCCCCCCACCCCCCCAAATAGGCCAGGCATGGTGACTCACACCTGTAATCCCAGTAATTTGGGAGGCTGAGGCAGGAGGATCCCTTGAGCCCAGGAGTTCAAGACCAGCCTGGGCAACAGAGTGAAACCCCATCTCTACAAAAAATATAAACAATTAGTCGGGCACTGTCATGCAAGCCTGTGGTCCTAACTACTCAGGAGGCTGAGGTTGAAGGATGGCTTGAGCGTGGGACTTCAAGGTTACAGTGAGCTATGATCACACCACTGCACTCCAGCCTGGGCAACCCAGCAAGACTGTCTCAAAAAAGAAATCAATACACAGAGAAGGAAGCAGCCACCCAGGCTGTGGCCCAAAACCAGAAAACATTTACAGCATTCTATTGCCATCTGGTGGCTATTTTGAATATTGCACCCCAAGGCTTTCAAAGCCCTGCCGCTTGGGTAGGTTTCTGTCCATCCTGGGCTTCCAGGCTCTGTGCTTTTCAGGTCTTCACATCCCAACTAGTGGCCTAGACATCCTCCAAGAACGTGCCTTTAGCTCCATCTTCTCGAAGCCAACCAGGCTCCCCCCATGCACAGGCCCCTGGGCCCTTCCCTGGCCATGATCCTTGCACACCCACTTCTCCCCCTGGGAGCCCCAGTTTTCCGGATCCTGCAGCTTGGGCCCCACAGGAGCAACTTCTCTCTTGCCCTGCATGGGCCCTGCGACTCCCTGCTTCTTCAGATCTCTGTGCTTCCCAGGGACCCCCCAAAAAGGGCTGCTGGGCCCTCACCCCACTTAACCCTCCCCAGCAGATGCCCACAGCCCACCGGCTTCAACACTTGAACCGCCACTGCCAGCTGAACGGAGCCTCTCTTTGGGGCCACTTTCCACTGCCCTCTGTCTTGTTGGGCAATGCCCAGCGGCCTGCAGCAGCCCCAACCTCTCTTCTGCCAGTGTGAACTCTCCCAGCGTTCAAGCTTCACACCCCTTAGTGCTGAACACATGGCCTCAGCTGCCCCAGCTGCCTCCAGTTCTAGCTTTATTTTGCTTTTGCTCTAAAGATCTCCATGTTGCAGCAGTCCACTGTCTTCCTTTGGCTCCTGCACCCAGCACTCTGGGTAGCGGCTGTCCTTTCCAAGGTCACTAACCAGGTCGCAAACAAGGGTCTGCCTGTCCTTTCTGGCTTGCTGACACTCAACATGGTGGGGAGGTGGACCCAGCAGTGCGGGCTGCTTCCTTGCATGTCCTTCCCTGCCAAGCTCTCCATCGTACATTCCTCCTGCTGCTGCCACTGGCTCTGTTTATCTGCTCACCTGTCCCTGTCCCCTGGCCTGGGCCCTGGGGGCAAAAACTCTTAGCACAGAGCCTGGTGCTCAGAGGTGCCCCATAAGTACTGGCTGAATGAATAGAAAGGAATAAAATAAGGAAGGAACTGGCTTTTTTTTTCTTTTTTAAATAGAGTCAGGGTCTCACTGCGTTGTCCAGGCTGCAGTGCAGTGGTGTGATCATAGCTCACCGCAACCTCACACTCCTGGTCTCAAGCGATCCTACCACATCAGCCTCCCAAAGTGCTGGGATCACAGGTGCGCGCCACTGCGCCCAGCAGGACCAGCTCTAGATGCTGTTCCACGTTCTGCTTCACTGGTTGTGTTCTCTTTATCTATTTTTTTTTCTTTAAGAGTTAGGACTGCAAGGTTGTGTTTCTGATTTATTTCTGCTCTTATCTTTGTTTCCAGATTCTTAATTTATTTTCTTGTGTTTTTTCCCCCATTAAGAACCTAATTTATATGCTACAGTCATTTAATTTTTTAAATAACATAAGTATTTAAAACTATGAAATCCTTCTAAGTACGATTTGGGGCACCTTAATATAATGTACAGGATTCATTTTACTTTACATTTTTTGATATAGGGGCTCGCCCAGGCTGGTGTTCAGTGGTGTGAGCATGGCTTACTGCAGCCTTGACCTCCTGGGCTCAAGTCCTCCCGCCTCAGCCTCTGGAGTACTTAGAACTACAGGTCAGTGCCACCATGCCCAGTTAATTAAAAAAAAAAAAAAGTATAGAGATGGGGTCTCCCTATGTTGTCCAGGGTGATCTCGAACTCCTGGACTCTTGGCCTCCCAAGTGTTGGGATTAGGTGTGAGCCACCATACTTGGCCCCAACAAAATGTTTTAAAAGCTGGTCTTTTGTATCTTTGTCTGGACACACCCCCCACTCCCACAGGCCAAATGGGGCATGGATGAGCTTGGCAAGGGGCATGTGGGCCCCAGGGTCTGGCCCGGCTGGGTCTGGCCTGGCTGGGTCTGAGCTGAATGAGGAGCCAGGCACTTGGAGTCTGCAAGTAGGGACAGAGTCAGGACCAAAAGTGGAAAATCAGTCACTGGATCAGGGTGCACAGGAGGCCGCAGTGGTTGAGGCCGACGGTAGGGGTCAGTAGTAAGAACCCAGGCCACTGTGTTGCAGCCAGGCTGCACACTGGAGTCACCGGCAGGGGGGCCCACCCTGAGACGATAACAGGTCCGGGGGAGGCTCGGGCACTGGGATGATGTTTAAAAGAATCCACTCACCCCCCAGGTGACCCCCTTTTGCAGTCAGGATGGAAAACTGCCACCCACGACTCACCTTGGTGGCAGCGTCAGGGTTTACAGATCTCCTGGCTCCCCGCCCAGCTCTCCCTCCTTCCCTGCAATCTCTCCCTGTACCAGCCAGCGCTCCAGTGTGGCCGCCTAATTCTCTTCATTTTCCTTTGAAAATAATTCCATCTGGGGCTCCTAAAGCAATAGATGTTCACTGCAGCAAATCCCGAAAATGGAGAAAAGCACAAAGGAGAAAACAGATGTTTCACATTTTTTCCCAGCGATTTACACCCGTCTGCGACAGCTTCAGCCTCTGCAGGTTCCCGAACGAGATGTGGCTCCTGCTCTCTTCCGTGTGAGCATCTGTTGCAGCAGGATCCAGTTATTCCTCAGACGCCACCAGCTTTGTCTCTTTTGTAGCCAAACTTTATTGAGCACTTATTGTATGCTGGGCACTGCATGAGGCCACAGGGACCCAGAGGTCTCAGCAAAACCTCGTGGAGCCTTCAGGCCCGTCTAGGAGGCGGCGGTGTGAGACCCTTCAATGGGTCATGTTGAAGGCCCTGGTGTGCGGACCCCAAGGCAGACACGTCACCTTGGCCTTTTTCTTTGTCTTTTCTCCTGGAGATTCGTGTGATGGTCTTTGTAATGGCTGAGGTTTGTTTCAGACAATTTTTCTAGGCTTTAATGGCCCTTAAGGGAGGCTGGGACTGTGTCCTCTGCCACTTTTACACACTTTGTCCCCCAAAATATCTCAGGAGAGGTCAAGTCACCTTTTCTCCTTTAACCCTTTAGATCTGGACGTGCCATCTCTGCCCCGCCTGGTGACGTCGTAGCCTGGACCTCGTCTGCCCCTTTCTACACTTGGCATGAGGTTGCCTGACTCTTGCCCCTCATGGGCGGGGCAGGGGCAGAGAAGCACAGGGTGCGAGGGGCAGGTCTGGCCCTGAAAGGGGCCTTCGATGGAAAGTTGTTGTCTTCGTTCAGCCCATTCCTGCTGCTCTCTTCAGAGCTTTAAGAACTGGGCCAAATGGTGCCCACACCTTCCAAGCCAACCTCAGATGAACTCGGGGCTGACAGGGGAGCTACTGCCCATGCCAAGCTGAGGGTTCTGTCTCTGGCAACCTGAATCATCCACTCACAAGCCGGCTATCTGCCCACTTGTCTTGTGGGGGCTGCAAAAATGCGTGAGACATGGCTCCACCCTCAGTCATGGCCCAGATAGACAGCAGCAGACACATGTTCAGTGTGGTCAGGATTCTCCGGGGCTTTGAGAAGAGAGAGAGGAATCCAGGAAGACTTCCTGGAGGAGATGGCAACTGAACTTGGGCTTGAGGGAAGGGAAGAGGTAAGGAGAAGAGGACACTCCCAGCCGTGGAACACAGGGCAGGGCGTGGCAGAACCCAGGGGGCCCCAGGGATGCCTGGGTGGGGAAGCCCAGATAGGGAGCCACAGATTCAGGCTGGGAGGAAGGGAGGTTTGGGGGCAGAATCCTGGGGGGCCAAAGTCCAGGAGTAGGAGTCTGACAGGGCAGGGAAGGTTCCAGAGAAGCAGCTATGATCCTAGAACAGGGACAGGGAGGCTGAGAGCAGAAGGGACTGGGCCAGGCAGTGGCACAGTATGGTGTGGAAGCTCTGGGATCCTTGGTGCCACAGGGTCTCTGGAGTGGTGACGTGTCTGCCCTGGGGTACAGTGCCTTTCGGGTGCTGCCTGTCACGTAACTCGAGGTGATCCTTGGTATGCCTGGGCGGCAGTCTGGGTACTGGGGCAGGATGGGGTGCATGGGTGGGCGATGGGAGGAAAGGCAGGCAGGACCTGTGAGGGCCCCTCTGGGGTCTTGGACAGCACCAAGGCCAGGAACCCTGGAGAAAGAAGGTCACGGTGGTCCTGAGATGGGGCTTCTGGAGGTGACTTTAGAGAACCGAATGAGGTTGGAGGGTCTGGAGGTGGGGAGCACACTGTCCCGGGTGGAGGCGCAGAATGGTTTCCCTCAGCTGTGGTACAGGACAGTGGCCCGGGGTCGCCTGTGAGTTATTTCCCCAAGGCCTCTAACCCAGCCATGGTGGTGGGTGAGGGTCCAGAGAGCCTCTTCCACTGCAAGCTCCACACATGCCCGAGCAGGGAGAGGCAGGACCTTTCGTTTAACCCAGATGGTTTGCCATCAGAAGGGAGGTCCTGAGATGCTCTCTTCCTTCCCTCCCTCCTGTGTTCCAGGGGCCTCTGCCCTTGTCCCCACGGCCCTGCGGGAGCCACCGTCTGTCCTTTCCTCGATGGGAGAAGGTGCTCTGGGCAGCAGCTGAGTCTTCCCCACCTCTGTGCACTGCCTGGCACACAGGGGCACTCAAAGGAGGCTGGATGCACAGAGGCAGGGTCTACACATGCATCCCTTTAACCCGACCGTCCATTTCCATCATGGCAGGATGGGGCACTGCACCCACAAGCTTGTCCGGGGGAGGGGAGAGGGGGCTCCTGCATTGAAGCCTGGGCCACAGAAGGTGGCGGGAATGTCTGCCTGTGTGTGGGGCAGCTCTGCAGGCTGGGAGGAGCTGGGGGTCGCCACTCTCCTTTGGCTGTATTGAGTCACCGCACCCACTGGTCACAGCCACAACACAGTCTCCTTAGTGGTGGAGAACTGGCTGCGTAGTTTGTGTTTCCTTTTTCAGAATGAGGGAAAATGGTCCCAATGTGCCATGAAAACAGGGCACATGGGGACAGCCCTGGCGCTGAGGGAGAGGGGGCAGGTAAGGAAACACCCCCTCAACGGAAGCCCTTTCCCTGGAGGGCCCTTTCCCCCAAAGCTTTGTTTGAAGCTTCACAGAGGGGTCAACTTCAAATCAACGCCCTGAGCAGTGGGCCCGGAGTCTCTTCTGGAAGGAGGTGGCATCTTTGCACAGGGGAGCGCGGGCACATGCCACAGGGGGAGTTCCCGTGGGCCCAGGACCAACCTGGGTGGTCCCAAGTCCTGTGTCCTGTCAGTGAAACCTGGCGGTGCTCTACCAAAAACCAGCCCCCAGCCTGGGGCAAAAAGACAAAGGACCTGCTGGGTTCTGGGCCCCAGGAGGCCTGGACCTCCCACTGGGCCCTGTGGATTGGGAAGACCAATGAGGTAGGGTGCAGGCTTTGAGGCAAGGTGCCTACGTGCGCTGATGGCCATCCTCCCTCCACATGCCCCAGGCTCAGGCCCAAATGACCATCAATTCCATGATATGAAGTGCGCCTGTGTGGTGGAGGCAGCTGTCCCACAGGCCCAGGGTTCTGGAAAGCCCCTTAGCCCCCGAGGCCGGTGTACAGAAGGCCCAGCATCTGCGGTCTGAGTAAGCCAGTGTCCTCTGCACCCCTAGTCTCCTCTTTGCCCTCCCCCCCCAGCACCCCCAGTACTGGGTGGCAAGAGGGGGTTCCTGGGCTGAACTGTGGTCTCCAAAAATTCATATGTTGAAGCCCTAACCGCCCGTACCTTAGAATGTGAATCTATTTGGAGATAGGGACTTTAGGGAGGTGATTAAGTTAAAAGTGAGGTGATCAGAGTGGGCCCGAATCCATGGTGTCCTTATATGATCAGCACTCGCAGAGCCACCAGGAGAGGGAAGACCATGGCAGAGCGGGGCAGAGACGGCCACCCACGGCCACAGACAGGGCTTGGAAGAAACCCACCTGCCCACAGCTGGCTGGTGAGGAGGCACACTGCTGTTCTTTCACTGTGGTGCTTTTCATGTCAACCCGAACACACCCAGACAAGGGGCACAGGGACAGCAGTGGGGAAAGGGGTCCAGACCAGGCCCCCGGAAGCCCGTGCTTCTCCACCTTTCAGAAGCTGGAGAGCTCGTGAGAGCACCTGCTTGCCCCAGAGGAATCAGCTGATCAAAACAGAACCCCCAATCTCTCCAGAATCCAGAGGAATCTAACCTAAGCAGATGCCCCATGAGTGGAGATGCCCACCTACGGGTGGCAGCATGTTCTAACCAGGAGCCAGATGGGGAACCGCTGTGGGTGCCCTGACTATGAGAGCCTCCAGCCATGGAGACACAGCCCTGCCATCGCTGTCTGATTAATATGCGGTGAAGATGCAAGAGAAGAGCCAGACGTTCTCTTGCCTGAGCAGGGCACTCGCAATGTTGTAGAGAACCCAGTAAAAAACTGACCTTCCTTGAAGAGGTCCGGAGGGGACTGCGGTGTTACGTGGGAGTAGGAGCCGAGCACCCCCACACTTCCAGGTGCAGCCCCTCACACCTCCACGCGCAGCCCCCTCACCTCCAGGCACAACCCCCCCGCACCTCCATGCACAGCTCCCTGTACCTCCATGCGCAGCCACCCCCCCGCACCTCCAGGCGCAGCCCCCCATACCTCCACGCGCGGCACAGCGCCCCCCCCCAGGCACAACCCCCCCGCACCTCCAGGCGCAGCCGCAGCCACCCCCACCCCCTGCACCTCCAGACGCAGCCCCCCCCCACAACTCCAGGCGCAGCCCCCCCCCCCGCACCTCCAGGCGCAGCCCCCCACCCCCGCGCCTCCAGGCACAGCCCCCACCCCTGCACCTCCAGGTGCAGTCTTCCCGTGCCTCCAAAGGCAGCCAGCCTCTCTTACCTTCCCGCCTCCCGGCTGGTGCTTCAGGTTCTCAGTGGAACCGATCTTGGACTTGACGTTCTTCAGGTCTGGCATGGGCACGGGGGCTGTCTGCAGGCGACTCTTGGTGGAGGATGGCGACTTGGGTGGAGTACGGACCACCGCCACCTTCTTGGGCTCCCGGGTGGGTGGGGTTGGAAGGGACGGAGTGCGGGAGCGGCTGCCTGGAGTGCCTGGGGAGCCCGGGCTGCTGTAGCCGCTGCGATCCCCTGATTTCGGAGTTTCACCTGGGGAGGAAGGAAGGCAGTGAAGCCAGGACTCGGGTAGGTGGTGGTCAGAAAAGGTCCTGGGGGCTACCTGTCCCCGAGGGTCCATTCCCAGGCTTACGGTTCGGTTAGGCAGGTGAGGGCCAGGTTGGAAGCACAGCTACAGCAGCAGGAGGCGGCTGCCAGCCGCCTCCCTGCCTTTTTGCTTAGGGACGGAGACAGAGACACCCTTTCCCAGGAAAACAACGGAAAATCATCAACCACCATCCAAGACCCGCTCCCAGAGAGGCAGCCAACTTGGCCCCACGGTCTTTGGGTCAAGAGATGGGCTCCTGCAAGCTGTGTGGTCTCAGGCAAGTCACTTCCACTCTGAACTCAGAGGCCTCAATCTGAAAATGGAAATAATTATAATACCCGGGGCAAGGGTGGCTCCAGGTGGTGGTAGAAAAGCTTTGCAAACCTCTAGTGCAATTCTTCAGGGCCTTTATCCTAAATAAGTGTGACTCAGTGACGGGACCCAGCTCAAACCTGCACGATTCTGACCCTTCCCCCCAGGGTGAATGTTTGCTGTTGGGCTAGTTCAGGGCTCCTGCCAGCTCCCTGGGTCCTGTGTGGGATCTGGGCTCCAGAACAGGATGCCTGCTCCACACCTGCCTGTCCCTAGCTGTTCATACAAGCCATGCGGCTTCACGCTGCTGTGCCCTGTGGTTCCCCCGGCCATGCATGGCAGATGTCAGTGCCCCTTTCTAACAACCCAGAAGGCTGCTGGGGAGTCTCCTCTCCATGCAGATTCGGTCCCTCCCTCCTCTGGGCATCATTTCCCTCCAAGCTTGCTTCTGTCACTGCACATCCCAGGCCCCGTTACACCTCAGCACTGCGCTACTCTGTCTCATGGCTCCGTGTTTTCCGAAGTGTGGCCCACAGAACCCTGTGTCAGATCTCCGGAGCTTTCAAGGAGGAAAGTGGGACTTGTAAAATGCAGATTTGTGGGCCCCATGGAGAATGGATAGAGCAGAATTCCTAGGGGTGTCGCTTGCAAAGCTCATTTTTCTCAAGCTTCCCAAAGACTGAAGTCTGTCTGAGAACTGCAAGCCTCATGCTCCTGCCGAGGTGCGCTCAGCTCCCCTGCAGTTTGAGGACTGACTTTCCTGTGGGTCTTGAAGCTTCCTGCAGCAATGCCCCTGCCCCGCCCCAGGCATCCGCTGTAACACACACCTGCTGTCCTGACCTGGAGAAGGGCAGCTCTTTGTTCAAAGCTCCTGTGTAGCCAATGGGCAGCTTGGCCAGTCACAAATAAGCACCAGTTCTTTTTTTTTTTTTTTTTGAGACAAAGTTTCACTCTTGTTGCCCAGGCTGGAGTGCAATGATGCTATCTCGGCTCCCTGAAACCTCTGCCTCCCAGGTTCAAGCCTCCTGAGTAGCTGGGATTACAGGCGTGCGCCACCACACCCGGCTAATTTTTGTATTTTTGGTAGAGACTTATTTTAGTAGAGACTGTATTTTTGTATTTTCAGTAGAGACTTCTTTGGTAGAGGTTTTACTGTGTTGGCCAGGCTGGTCTTGAACTCCTGACCTCAGGTGACTGACCTGCCTCGGCCTCCCAAAGTTCTGGGATTATAGGTGTGAGCCACCACACCTGGCCAGCACCAGTTTTTAGAATTTGATTTCCATGTCTTTTATTTTTATTTATTTATTTATTTATTTATTTATTTATTTATTTATTGAGACGGAGTTTCGCTCTTGTTACTCAGGCTGGAGTGCAGTGGCGCGATCTCGGCTCACCGCAACCTCCGCCTCCTGGGTTCAGGCAATTCTCCTGCCTCAGTCTCCTGAGTAGCTGGGATTATAGGCATGCGCCACCATGCCCAGCTAATTTTTTGTATTTTTAGTAGAGACGGGGTTTCACCATGTTGACTAGGATGGTCTCGATCTCTTGACCATGTGATCCACCTGCCTCAGCCTCCCAAAGTGTTGGGATTACAGGCGTGAGCCACCGCGCCTGGCCCCAATGTTAAGTGGAAAAAAAAAACAAAAACAAAAACCAGCAGGATCCAAACCTTACTTAAAATCCCGTGAAAATTCTGAGAATTATCTCTAGATCATATGCATAAAAAAAAAACAGGCCAGAAAACACGAGGCAAAAAGACAAAACCAACAAACCTTAGTGAGCAGCCGCCTTGCGGGGGCCACCGGACCGCACGTGTGCATGAAATGCCACTGCAGAGACAGGCTCTGGGCAGCTCCCTCAGGCCAGGAGAAGCAGAGTTACCAAGATCCAGGCCAGGCTTTGGCCACAGCCCACAGCAAGAGCCCCAGCTGCCTGCGCACCACCAAGGAGCCAGTGCAGGTCAGGGGTCCCCACAGGGTGCAGAGAACACTTCACCCAGAACACTTCACCTGGGCAGTGGGAGAGGGAAGCACCTTGGGCAGTCTGTCCCTAATCCCAAGAGGACGATTTTTTTTTTTTGAGACAAGAGTCTTGCTCTGTCGCCCAGGCTGGAGGAGTGCAATGGTGTGGTCTCAGCTCACTGCAACCTCCTCCTCCAGGGGGTTCAATCAATTCTCCTGCCTCACTCTCCTGAGTAGCTGGAATTACAGGTGTCTACCACCACGCCTGGCTAATTTTTTTTGTATTTCCAATAGAGACAGAGTTTCGCCATATTGGTCAGGCTGGTCTCGAACTCTTGATCTCAGGTGATCTGCTCACCTCAGCTTCCTAAAGTGCTGGGATTATAGGCATGAGCCATTACACCCAGCTATGACTGTTCTTAATAGCACTGCTGGCTGTAAAATATCTTGATGGTTGCCTTACTGGATATTCCAAACCGACTGACTTTTACTCACAGGAGCCCAGGGCAATGGGCCCAGCATGCGACTGATCAGCTAAGACCCTCAGGGTTTGCAGCTTAACCCCAGCAAGTTAAGCTGCCCAGGGGTTGAGCCCTGAGTGACATCACCCATTGTGACCCATCCAGGCTGCTCCTCTGTCTCCAGAGACATTTATCTCCAGAGTCTCATGTGGGGACTGCCTGTCTGGAACCCTGGATTTAGGACCAGAGAGGCTCCAAGAGCTGCTACTTAGTAGTCATGTGACCCTGTTTTCCTGGGGCTTAAAAAGAGCTGGTTAGACTCAGTCAAACTCTGCGAGGCTCCATTTCTTTCTTTCCTTCTTTTCCTTTTTCTGTATTTTTATCATTCTAGAGAATCACCCTCAATTTCTTCATTGATAACAAGGATTCAGGCTGGGCGCTGTGGGTGGACACCTAATGTCAGGAGTTCGAGACCAGCCTGGCCGACATGGTGAAACTCCTTCTCTACTAAAAATAGAAAAAACTAGCGGAGTGTGATGGCGGGCGCCTGTAATCCCAGCTACTAGGGAGGCTGAAGTAGGAGAATCTCTTGAATCTGGGAGGCAGAGGCTGCAGTGAAGTGAGCCAAGATCACACCACTGTACTCCAGCCTGGGTAACAAGAGTGAAACTCTATCTCAAAAAAAAAAATAAAAGTAGGGATTCAACATCTGCCTCAGAAATCAAAAGGACTGAGAAGGAAATGAAGATTCCAGTGCTTAGTAAACTGCAAGGTGCTAACCAGCTGTGCCGGGGCTGTTCGTTCTCAATGGCCTAAAATGAGGGCTGCACCTATTGAGAGCATCAGCTTCCTCTAAGATTCAAGACAACACTCTTCTTACCAGAGCTAGGTGGTGTCTTTGGGGCAGGCGGGGTTTTTGCTGGAATCCTGGTGGCGTTGGCCTGGCCCTTCTGGCCTGGAGGGGCCGTTCCCCGGGGTGTGGCGATCTTCGTTTTACCATCAGCCCCCTGTAAATGAAACATGGTCGAGGGGTTTTTCACCACTGGGAAAAATTACTGCCACCAAGAGTCAACAC